GATTGGGGAGAAAAACCAGCCGCCCCGAGGGTCCGGCCCCGGCGCCATCAGCAGCTTCTCTTTTTCTCCGGCGTGTTTTGCAACATTCGTTATGTCGCTCTTGTGTTAAGACGTTAGGACCATCTCCAACAATTTCCCCCTCCCCAATTTTCCCCCTCTTAATGTTTTTAATCGTATCAATGAAACCTACGTTGTTTTCTCTTGCTTCCCGTAGGTCGTCCAAACGTACTCTTTTCCTAGATTTACACACAATACAATAGTTTACTTACAATACATATTATAGGGAGGGGTGTTTAACTACCTCTTCCTCCCCAAAAGTTTGTAATCTTATAAAGTAAGTGAAGGGCGAAGGCCTTTTTTAACCCACAACTGCAGATTCCCCTCCTGACACTAACACACTCACTCACTTGAAAGGGGAAAATAAATACTCTGTATGCGGCCCGAAAGATACCAGTAACCTCTATTACAAATATCATAATTCACCGTTCTCTTGAATGTATTTACAGAGTCCTGTGCCCAAATGGGATGATTCTGAAGGGAAAGTTGCAGGAAATTGTGGGCCAGGGACGGTCTTTTGCTCAGGCTGTAGCCCAAACCCTGCTCTGGCATGGAAACAGGTGACTCATATTTAAGTCAGCAGAAGCTGCTAGTACACATCTGAAGGTAGAAATGAAGCACCTGTCATAAAATGACTCGGACAGCTCTGTCCTTCTGAAGGATGTCAAAACATCTGACAAACTTTACCATCTTGTTCCAAACCAGGGGGTCTGTGCAACCCTCGCTAGCTGTGGAAAGTCCTGTCGATGTCCGCTGAATTTTAAAGAAAAGAGAAAGGTCACATATGACAACATGAGATGAGTTGTCCACTAAAAGTGCAGTATGGTAAACAACGCTTCTCATGCCAGTGCTGGTCAAAAAAAAAAAAAAAGCAGCTTTTTTCCACTGAAATTTGACTTGAAATTTCATATAGTAAAATATTACAGTTTTTAAATTGTTCATAAAATATTACAATTGCCCATGCTTACATTTAATTGAGACACTTAGGTTAATAACAACAGGGTTCTCAAAAAAAAAAAAAACCACTGTGATAGCATCGTAAGCTGTATATACTGAATGGTAAGAAGAAGAAAAACAAGGATGTATTTCAGTAATTTGAAATAATTGCTAGACTGAAAGATGATTCCCTAAATCGCATTATTAACATTTTGTTTAATCTAACTGGAGAAGTACCAAGTCATGGCACATACAGAGATGTTAGCAGTAGGACTTGGAAGCTTTTGAAGCTCAGTTTTTCTTTTTAACAAAATTGTAGATCTTGTTTTCGCTTTCTAGGAAGGTCCTTGATTTTTTTCCTGTTTCACCAAGTAAGATCAACAGTCCTTCTAGGCATTAGGGACACATGCGCACAGGCCACATATTTGCCCATGAAATCCCTATAAACATTTTTCATTAACTTGGGCTGTTTGTTTTACAGAATATAATGTGCTCTGTATTGTTTATTTTCCTTCTTTAACTGAGACACTACTGTATCAGAGCTGAAAATGTTGTAATGCCTGGAAATATCTGTGGCAGCAGCTATTCCATAGGAGATGCTGAATCTCTAGACTTTTAATACTGCTCTATATATTTGACAGGGAAGTTTCCGGTTCCCCGGCCATCTGAAGTGAGAGGCGTGAGCTAGAGGTTGACATAATGCTATCGATGAGCACAATACACAAGCAAAGCATGAGCTGTTGAGGACATGTCAAAGAAGGCCTCAGCTTTCCTGCAGGCTCACGATAAATACTTTGCATTCTCCTTCATTGAGTATATCTTCAATATCAAAGTCAGCACAGGTGTTACTGGTTACCCAGTAATTAATTGTAAATGTAATTACAAATAGACTTGGAAGAACAAGGTTTCCTATCCCTAACAGGAAAAAAAATGACTCTGTTTAAATGTTTCTGCCCCAAAGGGATTTTGTATACCCTTTGTATAAATCTGTCATTGGACAGATTAGTTTAGAAGCTGCTGCTAGAACAGCTAAGCGTAAATCCACGTTTGTATTGACAAGACTGTGAATTGATCAGTGTAGGCAGATACAAGAAAGGCAATGCGGAGAAGAGAGGGACAAGAGCTAGCCTGCAGTTAACTCCCCCAAAATGCACACAGTATGAGCGCTGGGCCCTCCATAGCAAATACTTTACAACTCCATCCTTTTGGTGCCCACTGCCTGCTTACCTCAGCTTAGCCTTTCTTGCCCCCCTGTCCTAGGAAACTGCCTGCTTTGCCTGTGCTGAGAGCTGACTTTAAAACAGCGTTATTATTGCACACACAGAGCAAGCACCACTGGCGCAGTATAATACAAACTTCTGGTACTGAAAGGTTTGGAATTTTTTTTGTTTTTTTAATTTGTCCTATTAGCTCATAAACTGAGATGGATGCTAATTTTTGCAGTTTTCCCAAATTAATGAAAAGTGATGCCAATTGATTCCTCACAATTTTTTTTTCCCTACTCAGATCTTCATTAAACTACTCAGATCTTCATTAAACAAATCAGACTGAATAATGCCTAAAAATTACTAGTGTGAACTGGCAGAGAACTAAATGCCCATGACTGGCGGTTTTAAAGCTTACAGGTAGTCTTTATCCTGAGAAGCTGGGTACCGTATTTTGCAACGTACATGCCTCAGAGGAGCTCACAAAGCACTCCTTAAGTCTTTATCAATCCAGCAGCATTTCTGTGCACGCTTGTGATCAAATTGGCCAGAGCTCTGCATCTCCCTATGGACTCTAGAGAGTCCATTTTCTAGAGGGCCTCTTTCTGGCAGAGCATTGCTGGAAATGTCTTAATGCTCTATAAACGCAATAAAACAGGTCTCCAGTTTAACCTGTTTGTACCTTCTTCTTGCATCTGTGAGCGCTGTGCCTATTTAGCAGTGTGGTCTAGAATAAAGGCTCTGAAGGAGAAGCCTCTGAACAGCTCCTTCTATTAGTCAAAAACCACCTCTGTGCATTTGTCCATGTTTTAAAACCTGTGGTTTTGAAAAGCCACAGCTTCTGGTAAGACTAACGATACCGTAGACCCCTCTGAGGAACACAGGCCCTGTGGAAGGTAAGGAGAGAGCTCAGTGACAAGGTCGGCATTGAGGAAGTATTTCTGACCTTTCTTCTTTAGGACTGCGGGGACTGCAGGCTCATCCATGCCAACAACTCCTACATGTGCTGTACTGGAAAGGTGTTAGGAAAGTACAGCCAGGATATGCCTCTAGGGAAGAGAATAAGTAAAATGGAGATCAGTTAAGACGACAACTCCCAGCAGATGGCAAAGGAGAGGAGAAATGGTACGAAGGCCCTGGG